CTAGTGGTTAGAGCAGGGGGGGCTGGGAGCCAGGACTCCTGGGTTCTGTCCCTGGCTCCGGGAAGAGAGTGGGGTCTAGTGGTTAGAGCAGGGGGGCTGGGCGCCAGGACCCCTGGGTTCTGTCCCTGGCTCCGGGAAGAGAGTGGGGTCTAGTGATTAGAGAAGGGGGGGCTGGGAGCCAGGACTCCTGGTTTCTATCCCTGGCTCCGGGAAGGGAGTGGGGTCTAGTGGTTAGAGCAGGGGGGGGCAGAGACGACTGGTACTTGCTGATAGTTGGGGGGGGCACAATTTAAAGGTTTGTTTCCCCCTCCCCCCGGAACAGCTTGAGTCACGCTCCTCCCAGGCACATCCCTCAGCAGCCCCTCCATGCAGCTCACCAGCTCTGGGAGCTGCTGCCCAGGGAGGGGGCCCAGCTGGCAAACCCTGGTAGAAATCTGGGGAGGGGCATGTGACCCCCCCCTCCACACACAGACATACACATGTTGCCTCTGACGGGGGCCTGGGAGCCAGGACTCCTGGGTTCTGTCCCTGGCTCTGGGAGGGGAGTGGGGTCTAGTGGTCAGAACAGTGTGGGGCTAGGAGCCAGGACTCCTGGGTTCTTCCCCTGGCTCTGGGAAGGGACAGAGGCCTGGTGGGTTAGAGTAGGGTACGGAGGCCGGGGAGCCAGGCTGCCTAGATCCTAGTCCCACTCAGCCACTGCAGCTGACAGCAGAAGGGAGTCTTGTATTTTTGTAGTCGGCTCGTTCTCAGCTGGGCAGCCTGGGGCCCCTTCGCCAGCAGCAGGGCTCCCCGGCCTGTCGGCAGCGGGTGCTGGCAGGAAGGGACCCCCCTCCAGGGGCTCCTAGGGCAGCAGCCGTGTGAGGGTCTGGGCGGCACCAGACCCCCCCCCCCACCCAGCACAGACAGACGTAAAGGGGAGGGTGGAGGGCCCAGTGGTTAGACCAGGGGTGTGCCCAGAACTGGGTATGCGATGGAGCATTTTGAGCAAGGGCCTGGGAGTCAGGACACCTGGGTTCCCTGCTTGGCATGGGGAGGGGAGTGGGTCAAGCAGGGGATAGGATGCAGGACACCTGGGTTCTTTGTGTCATTCCCCCCCCCCCTTGGTGCCCCACAGTCCCCTGCTGTTGATTGTGCAGCAGCCGGATGTGGAACTGCTTTGTTGAGCGTGAGAAGACGAGCGGGGATCTCAGGGGGTTACAGGGCTGGGGACCCCAGTGCCAGGCCCCGAGGGAAAAGCCCCAGCAACAGGCGACCGGTGGGTGCAGGGGCGAACCCCAAGGGCTCAGAAACAAGCGAGGTCCCCATGGAAGGGCAAGATCCCGCCCCAGCAGGTGGGCCCAGTGCTGGAGGGGTTAACACCGGAGCCCCGGGGAGGCTGCCAGGAAAGGAGTGAGTCAGGCCAGGAAGCCGGCTGGAGCAGGATGCCAGCTGGGGAGAGGAGGAACCGGCTGGGCCATCTCCTGGCTTGCAGGGGCCCCCCGCTGGCTTTTCCCTTGCTGCTTCCCTGAGGGCGGGGGGGGGGCCTCCCAGTGCAGATCGGGCCCTGTTCTCCCCGCCACTCCAGTGCCCCCCTGCCCAGCTCTGCAGCCTGCTCCCTGCCCCACGCTAGCCCTCCAAAGCAGCCCCGCAGGAGCCGCTTGCCCGGGGCATCTGGCGGCACAGCCATATGGCTGTAAGGGGAGGGGCAGGTTTGGGGTGCCCCACAGCTGCCAGCACCCCCTCCTTAGGGCCAGGGGGACAAAGTCAGCCCCACACGCACCTGGGCCTGCTCCTGAACAGAACCCAGGTGTCCGGATTCCTCCATCCCCCACCTGGGCCAGGTCATGGCATAGTCACTGAGCGAGGGGAGACTCCTCCCTTCGGAAGAGAAGCCCCAGCCCCCCTCGGCCAGCGCTGGCTGGTCCCAGCTCATGGGAGACGATCTAAGGCCCCCCCCCCCCCCCAGCCAAGCCGCACTCCCCAGCCCCACTAGCCCTTCTCCGGGCCCAGCGCTGCGGACGCTCGGGGCCCAGGCTGCAGGGTGTTCCAGAGAGCCCAGGGCCAGCGTGCCGAGGGCCCAGCCCCCCTGCTTGGGGGGGCGGGAGGGGGGCTACAGGGCGCTTTGCTCCCAGCCGGGCACCCAAGCTCTCGCCAGCCACACGGGCTCGGCCCTGAACCCCGCTGGCCCAGCCAGGCCCCGTGGGGCAAAGTGTCAAAGAGGCAACCGAGCGGCCCCCGGTCTCTGCCTCCACAATCCGCCCCCAACACCCAGAGCCTCCAGGGGAAGTTAGGAGCCTAGATGGTTTTGAGGGTCAGGGCCCACAGCCAGTCCCGCGAGGCGGGCTCCACCCCAGCAGGGCCGCAGCCGGATCCCTGCTTTGACCAGAGGGCAAACGCAGCCCTGGGGGCCAGGGCGGAGGTCAGGAGCGACGGCAAATATTAGCAGCAGGATCCTGGCGCAGCTCTGGGCCCGGGCGCTCGCCCCGCGCCACTGGGCTCCACCTGATGGCCCCGGTCCTGCAGCAGCAGCTGTTACGGCTCCCTCCTCACCTGCGCCTATTTTAAACCCTGCCTGCCTTTTATAGAGGTGGGGTTTTTTTTTTTTTATACAAGCCAACCTTCACCTTCGATTTACAGCCTCCCCCCGGACTCTGCCCCGGAGCCATAAACCGCAGCGGCTCTTATCGGGCTGCTGGAGAAAGTTCATCTCGGCCCCCAGCGAGCGGAGAAAGCGGGTTCGAAGCAGGGGAGATGGGGGGCAGAGGGGCGTTTCCCAGGCCTGCGTGTGTTTGGGGGAGGCAGCGGAAGGGGGGGGCTCAGAAGCCAGACGTGTCTTCCCTTTGTCTGTGTTTTCACACTCAGCCGAGGGGGTTAGGAGGAAGTTCGATCTCAATGCAAATAAACAAGAACAGCCACTGCTTTGTCCCAGAGCAGGACCCCTCTCCCATCACGCTGGGGTCCCCCCGTGCCCCCCATTAGGACAGAATGGGGCACAATACCTCAGCACCACGACACCATCAGCCTCACGACTCTGCCCCCCACCAGCCCCTGGCTCCCACAGCAGAGCTGCGCCTACCCAGCTGCAGCCCCCCCCCGCGTTTCCCCAGGAAGCCTGGGGAGGAAAAGAAGGTTAATTGCCTCCCTTGGAAGCTGTGGCCAGCAAGGGCAGGGTGGTTTCCTCCAGCCCGGGGGAGGCTAGTGGCTCTTTTAGGGATGCGGAGAGGACACCCTCCTAGAAGCGCCCCTCCAGCTGGGAGACTGGTGCTTTGCCACCCGGCAGGGCCGGCGGGATGCCAAGAAGGCTGGCAGAGGGGTAGGAAAGTGACGGAGCTGATGGGCAAAGCCAGCCGGAGCCGTACTCACCTCCCTGATGACACCGCGCTGCTGGCACCTCCGCGAGTCGGGCCGGTTCTGCGGGTTGCTTGGCAGAACTAAGCCAGCCGTGCCACCCAGCCCAGCCCTGGCTCAGAGGGAGCTGTCCATGGTTTGCGGCGCTCCGAGGCAGGGCCACCCTGCCTCCACCCCCTCACAGCCCTCACCCCACCCACTTCCTCCCCCAGGCTGCGGGGCGGGGCAGCCTCCGGCAGAGCTGGACGCTCCTGTTCTTTATTAGGTGCATTATGGTAGCACCCCCGCCAAACTCGCTGCCCCAGCGCGCAAGGCGCTGTACAAATGCACAGTGAGAGACAGCCCCTGCCGCAAAGAGCTCGCAGCCAAACTAGACCAAGGCAAGGCGAGTCTTCCCGTTTCACAGCTGGGGAAACCGAGGCACGTTTCACAACTGGGGAAACTGAGGCAGAGTCAGTGACTTGGTCAAGGTCCCCCAGGGAGGCAATGGCAGAGCTAGGAATCGAAGCCAGATCTCCCCCTGCTCCCAGCCCTGTGCCCAACCCCCCATGCTACCCACCTGCTGCGTCTCCACCCAGCCTCAAGCACTGCCCCACACCCTGTAATGCGGCAGGTGTGCATGGGGCTTGTCCCCCCAGCCCGGGCATGCATTGACACGCGCCAAAGAACAGCCACTGGGGGTGGGCCCCACGGAAAGACGCCCCGTGCATCACAGAAGTGGAGGGCTGGGAGGGTGCCACAAGAGGCCAGCGAGTCCATCCCCCCGCGCTGAGGCAGGATTCAGTGTACCCAGGCCAGCAGAACAGCTGCACGGGGCAGGAGGCGCTGGGCTAGCCCCAGAAGGGGCGCTGGACCCATTTCACCACCGAGCTGGCCTGGTAATTTTGCCGCCACCCTCCAGCGCCAGCCAGCAGCGTGTACGATGAACGCAGCTGGAGGCTCACGCAGCGAGATCAGAGCGGGCGCCTTGCACCGCCCCAGGCAGAGCTCCATGGCAGCACGGGCAGAGAGCGTGAGACACACCAGGGCGTTCAGGGCCCAGCCACCGCCCCAGCCATAAACCCCGAGAGATGCCACCAGGTCAGCCCCTCCTTAGTGCCCCGGTGAGCTGAGCCGGTTTTATGAGCCCTGCTTTACAGCTGGGGAAACGGGGCCAAAAACCTGGTGTGTGACCCGGCCAAGGTCACCAGGGGAACCAGCCCCAGGAGAAGCCAGTCGATCCCGGGTGATTGCTCTGCTGAGTGGCTAATTTGACGTCAGTCAATACAAGAGGGGTTTGGTTGGGCTGGCAAGACGCGCTGGTTGCCAGGAGCCCACTGCCAGGCTGTGCTAGGAGACAAACCCAGGGGAGACCGCACCAGGGAGGAAAAGGCTAATGGCCCAGCCTGCCTCGGTTCAGCAGCCCAGAGTCCGAGCACCGGGACGCTACCTTGCAGCCCTAAAGCCCCGGAGATTTAGAGCAGGGAGCGTTGCCCAGAACGTTCCAGTGCAGTAACGGAGCGTTGCTCCGGAGCTCCCCAGAGCAGGGTGCAGCGCGGGGGCCGGGCGAGTACAAGGTACATGGTGTGACTGATCACGCAGGAGTGCCTAAGGTTGGCCCCAGACCAGCTCCCCCTGCTCTTTCTGACCCCTGCTCCTTCCCTGGCAGAGGCCCCCGAAACCAGCATTTAACCACGTACGCTAAACCGGCGGTGCGGATCTCGCGCGGAGCAGGGACCCGGAGCCAGCTTCGCAGCCCTGACGAACAGCTGGGGGGGTGCTCGAAAGTCCGGACAGGAGGGGAAATCGCTTCACCCGTGTTGAGCAGCACCTGGGATTCTGCGTGGGAGCCAGGACAGCTCACCTTTGTTCTGCCAGCACCTCTTAACCTCACTCTGGAGCCCCCCTTCCTCCAGCCCCCAGCTGCCCCCCAACAGCTGTGCCCCTGTGTGACGAAGTGGGGGGTTTTCTTGTTTTCTGTGGGGTTTCAATGGTTTGCATGCAGAGGGGGTGGGACTCGGTTTCCCTGGGTGTTACTGGTTTAACGAGGTGAGGGGAGAGGGAGTGTGTTTTGCAGAGGACCGGAGAGAGGACGTGGGGACCCAGCCGATGGCCGGGAGGATGGATACCCCAGCGACCGGTGACCCGGCGACCTGGTGACCCAGAGGCCCAGCTGAGGAGACGCAGCCGGTTCTGGCCAGTGGGAGGACAATGGGCTGCAGAGTGAGGACCCAGAGACCTAACCAGCCGGTTCCAGCCAGAGGGAGAAGCAGGAGGGGAGGCCCCGGTTTACGACCCTGTTTACCTGAAGAGAAGACAATGGACAGAGGCGGGGCCTGGGGCCAGTGATCTGAGATGCCCAGCTGGGAGCAGGGGGGCTCTGGGCTGGAGAGGGGGAGCAGGCAGAGCCCACCTCGAGGCAGACAGACTGGGATGTGCTGGGCTGAGGGAGGCCAGGCCTGAGGGTCAGAGAGGTTCCTGTGCTGTGTTCAACTCTCAATAAACCCTTCTGTTTCATGCTGGCTGAGAGTCACTCCGGTCTAGAGAACAGGGTTGCATCAACCCCTTCGGGGGTGGAGGCCCCGGGGGTCCAGAGCGAGTGGACTCCCTGAGGGGGCCCACGGCAGAGACAGACGTGCTAAGGCTCAGAGAGGTGCGGATCCAGGAGGTGGAGGGGCCGGACCCCGAGAGAGAGTGGACCCCCGAGAAGGGCTGTCTCACTAAAAGGGGCACCC